GAGGAGGAGAGGAGGAGGGAGGAGGAGGAGGAGAGGAGGAGGAAGGAGGAGGAGGAGAAGAGGAGGAAGGAGGAGGAGGAGGAGGAGGAGAAGAGGAAGGAGGAGGAAGAGGGGATTCTCCCTATTAATAAAGGAAAATAAAAAAAGAATATATTTATGTATATTTATATCTATATATGTATATATACATATATACATATATTTATATATCTATATATGTATATATGTACATATTTATATATGTATATATGTATATATGTATATATGTATATATGTATATATTTATATATGTATATATGTATATATGTATATATGTATATATGTATATATGTATATATGTATATATGTATTTATATGTATATATGTATATATGTATGTATATGTATATATATATGTATATGTATATGTATATGTATATGTATATGTATATGTATATGTATATGTATATGTATATGTATATGTATTTATATATACATAATACGTATATTGTATATAGATCTATACACACACATATATATACGTATTCATATACGTATATATGTACAAATAAATATACATATATATATTTATTTATATATATATTTACTTATTTATTTATTTATTTATTTATATTTATTTATACTAACCTTAGGAGGGAGAGAAACAGACTCAGGGGCCTCCATTTGCTGCTGCTAGGTTAACATGCAGCAGCAGCAGCAGCAGCAGCAGCAGCAGCAGGAGTAGCAGCAGGAACAGGAAGAGGAGCAGCAGGAATAAGAGTAATAACTAAATAAATAACAGCAGCAGCAGCAATTACAGCAGCAGCAACTGCAGCAACTGCAGCAAGAAGAAAGTAGATCTCTTGTTGCTAGCTATCGATAAGGGGAGAGAGGGAGGGAAGATGTTTATCTTTTTTTTTTCTTTTTTTCTTCTTTTTCTTTCTTTATTAGTAATAAAAAGAAGAAAATAAAATAAAATAAAGTAAATAAATAAGAAAAAAGGAGAAAAAGGAAGAAAAAAGAAGAAAAAAAGAAGAAGAATATAAAAAATAATGATTAATTGAACCAATGGCACTACTTGCGGTGTATAGGCAGCTCTTTTTTTTTTTTTTTCCTTTTTATGCATAAAAAGTCTTTTTTCTTCTTTTTTTTATTTATAAATAATAAATAAATAAATAATAAAAAGAATAAATTATATTATTTACAATAAAGCGTCTATTTTTATCCTTTTCTTCCGCTTTCTGCTGCTGCTGCTGCAGCAACACCGCAGCCGCAGCAGCAGCAGCAGCAGCAGCAGCA